TGCTCCGCTACCGGACCCGCCGGACCGAAGCCGGGGAACCGCGGGGGTGCGGTGCCGCTCCGGCCTGAGACACAAACGTACTGAAACAACCAAAAATATTTTTTTTAAAAAACCGTGATAAAGTTATGAAAGCATCCCTCTGTCTTGACTTGTTTTCGTCCTCCTTTCACCTCACGTTCAGTGTCGTCTGTTCAGAAGGAATGACAAAATTGGTAATAGAGCATCAGAAACTGAGAATCAGAAAAACAAAGTGTGCTAACATTAGAAGTATGCATGGCAGCCTTGGGTTTTTATTTGTTTTTTTGTTTTGTTGTGGGGTTTTTTTGTTGGGTTGTGGGGTTTTTTTGGCCAGGGGAAAAAAAAAAAAAAAAGTGCTATGCCGAAATAACAGCACTGCTGTTATTAACTGCTTATGTTCCAATATAGGAAAAATATGTCTACCTAATATGTGCACAAACTGTGGATGCAGTGAGAAGCATAATATAGATATACATGTTATGCTTTGAGAATAGTTCATTATGAGCATCCTATCTTTATTAGAATGGAGTGGTCTTATGGAGAAACTAATTAAAAAACCCACTCAGTTGACATCAGTGAACTCTCTGTGTGCTCCTGCTGGCATCTTCTAGGCGAGAGTGAAGCATGCTGTCATCGGGATAAGTATTTGCTTTACTTGGCAAAGTGCAAATAGTCACGAGTAGAGCTACAATGAAACCAGAAGGTTCCCACTGTGTTACTTGCACCATAACAGCTAGCAGCACCAGCCCCAGATCAGAAGAGCCCCACTGTGGAAAGTAATGTATAGAGCAAAATCCCAGTCCCTTCTCTAATGAACTTTTCAGTGGGATGAGATGAGCAGCAGATTGGGGGAGGCTAGCAGGAAAGTACAAGGAAACAAACATAAGATGTTGATGTTTTCAAGCCCTGAGACCAAATCCCAGTCTAGAAGATGCATGTCAATAAAAAGCCTTTAGAAAGAAGCTTATTCTGTGCTACCTGTAAGTTAGCACAAGAAATGTATTTTAAAGAAATTTTGCTCTGCTGAACTTTGTGTAGAAGTAGATGCCAGTAGAAATTACCCCACAGGTGTTTTACCCATATACAAATGCTATGATACAAGATGTAGAACTTTCAGGAACAGAGTAGGAGGACCATGAACAGAAAGCCTGACATCTTAGTTCTTTGGTTTTTTGGCTTTGTACAAATGAGTGCTGTGTAGCAGAAGAAAAGCCAAGAATATGTGAAAAAGAGCTGCAGAGGAATGTAACCATGTATTTTTCTTGTTTCATTGCAGTCCTCTGTTTCTAATTATAAGCCAGATGCTGAAGTGACTTCATTCAATAACTATTTTGATTTGATCCTGTCTACCACTCTAGTCTTAGACTCACAGTTCTCCAACTCCAATTATCTATGTAATTCAAAAGCAATAAGACTATAAAATATTAAATGTGTCCCTTTTTTTCTTCCCAGAAAAATAACTCTTTAAAAAAAAGCTTTAAAATACAATTAAATTTTTTTCCGAGTAAAACTTGGCTTTCAAGTAAAAGAAGAAATAGAGTTTTTATATATCACAACCTCGCTTCATAAACATGTTTGTATAGTTTTCTCTTTTATAAGCATATCAGTTCAGTAAAAAGCAAACACTTTTTTTTTATACCTGTATTTCAGGTATACAAGAAATCTTGTGGACAATGGAAATGGAAAGTTCAACTTGATGATCTTGTGCTGGGGTGAAGGACATGGCAGGTTCGTATCCAAAGACTATGGTTTTAGCAAAACCACTGTATCTTTCACTGTCATACACAAGTGACACAAATAATCAGCTCTGTGTTCTATCAGAAAATAACTGGGAACTAAGCAGTGCAGAGCTCCTATTGTTATAGCTGTCCTGAATATTTGCTATATCTTTTGCAAGTTTGTACCTCGTGGATATATTTAGAGCACTGTTTTTAAAATGCTGTTTTTCTATCAAATCTGTGAGACAAAGTTTTTCATCCCAGAGATACAACAGGTCCTGTGGGCAGGACAGGTTGAACAGACCCTATTCAACCTGTCCCATACAGCAAACCCCTACAACAGTTGGTGGCAGAAGCAGGACTTGGTGCAGTTTAAATAGTTTTTGTTTTCTCATGGTGCTTAAATACTCTGTGACAAGAGGAGAAAAATAGGTTTGGGTTAGGACTGCAGGCTGTGAGGAGGGAGCCCCTTTCCCGGAGTACTTGGCTGTCTTTAGATTCACACATCCCATCTCCTCCCTCAAAATGGACCACACTGCTGATGTGGCCTTTTTGGAGTTGTGTACACAGACTGTACACTGGCTTGTGTAGTCCTACAAATGTGGGCAGGATCTGTCCCTTGGAGGGTCTTTCACAAGATGTTGGCTAAAACAAAATATGGAGTAAAAAACTTGCAGGTTTTGACTGACTATTCTCTCATATAAATAGAAATGATAAGGAGAAGTCAGAGCTGTTTTTTGTTTGTTTTAATTTAGAGTGCAATTGAACATTTACGGTATTCTCTAGGGAATGCCATGACATTATACTCAGAGCCAAGCCCACCACCTCTACTCCTTCCAGGCTATACCCAGAAAGCCTGTGATTTCTGACAAACTGTTTGAGTTGGATGAGCATTTGCTAGAGCTAGACTGAGACCACAAGTTGGTTTTGCTTCCTGCATGAGAAGGATCAGATTGTTCTCGTGGCTTGTGGAAGGAGCGTGGCGTGACAACGTGGCATTTGTGAACTCTTCTGTGCCTGGAGCAGGCTCTGCTCTCTTGGCATCTCAGTTAGTAAGAAACCCTGACATTTGTTTACTGAAAACAGTAATGTACAAGTACCAAGTTTTTGATTGACACTTATTAGCACTCTACTTTCAGGGGGGTCAAATTCCCCCTTCTCCCTCAACCCTGATGGGTGGAGAGCTCTCCCTTTGTCCTAATCCCATTGACTTCTGTAACAGTCTGTCCTCTAGTTAAAAAAAAAACAAAACCAACAACAACAACAACAAACTCCTAAACTAAACTACATACTCAGCCCCTATGTCTCCAAATGTAGCAGTTAAAACAGACTTTGGAGCAAGGAGATGGATCTAGCAAGTAGACAAATCATACCAGATCCTGCTGTATTGTTCATGTGTTGCCAAACTAGTGAAATTAACAACTTTCTGTAGGTGGTTATATTTAGTACTTCCAGAGTCAGAGGTACAGAAATTTTTCTTCAATAAATGCCCATGCACCCCAGCAGTAAAGAGACCACAGAAATTAAGCAGAAATAGCTCATTTCTCTCATGTTTTGGGAACGAGCATGGTGGATCTGCAGTATCAGGTATACTTTCAAGTTTATACCAGGCTGTGCTTGGGGTCACTGTGGAAAACACCGTTTTGTTTCTTGGCCCACAGGAATTTTTGTGTTCTGAAGAATTTTTCTGTCCTACTCTATCCTCCAGACTTCCTTTGTATTCCTCTGTGGCAAAGTCATAGGCTGATCAATATTTGACTCTTCTCCAAGTCCTCTGCATGGGAGCTTATCCCAATACATTTCTAAAGTAGCAGGTAAAAGTAGGCATACCTTAGTCACAGTGAATCTTTTTCTCCTAAGTCATTGTGCAATGGCATTTTATTCCAGGACCATGTTCAGATACAATATGCTGTGCCTTCTGTCCTATTTGCTGTACTGAAATTAAATATGTATATCACACTGAGTTTGGTTATTCTTTCTACATATATAGCAGCATCCATGATCACACTGACTCACACTGCTTTATGAAGATTCTCCAGGGAAACCTAAAGGAGACTCTGTTTGAATGGCCTGAGAAAAAAGGAAATGGTGAAATGGCTAAGAAATCGGAACGAGTTTTGAGGGAAAATCAATGTGCCTACATTAATGGTAAGCTATTAAGCTTGTTTTGACAACTACCCATCCATGAGTATTATTCAGAAGAATTCATCTGCTCTCTAACCTCCTACCTTTAACAGAATAATACTAATGGCTTTATGCACAGTTTAAGAACATGACTCTCTATATTCTGCACAAGCCTATATTTAGATTCAGTAAAACAAACCATAAGAAAATATCCTTTTAACTCGCTCTTAAGTAATTGCAGCAATTGCATGATACTTAATTATGCTGTGTATCTCCTCTTGACCAAGCAGCCTTCAGCACTGTGTCCCTAATAACTATCTGAAATTGCTTGCAAACATAGACTTTAAATAGTATTTTGTGAGAAGAAGGGGAACCAAAGTTTAGATAGCTTAATCACCAGTGATCCTTTTGGTCAGTCATGGAAATCCTAGGTCAAAACTGTAAAAGCTGTCTATAGAAAAATTTACCAGCCAGGAGCAGAGGTCTTGATCCTCAGTGCCACTCCTTGTCCAAACCAACAAAAGACTGTAGCGTTGAAGTGCAGCAAAAAAATTGCCCAACTGCACAGACACTGAGAGATGACTAGGTCTCCAGCAGTAAGGCTCCCTAGGTTCCTAAATTAATGCCGTTACATTTATCTGTAACTAACACCACCTTGTGCTACACTGGTGGCCATCCTGGAGTGGCCAGCTGGGTGTAACGTATTCTGATGCTATGAGAGACAATGCACATCATGCTGAGCAGCAATATGTTCAGCAGAACAAAGGCAAAGTGTCAGGGAAGGGGGCTATCTGCCTTTTATGTCATCAGTTAAAAACGGAAGCACACACCTTGTGGGGCTAAGCTTGCAAACTCTCCACTTGGAGGGAGTCTTATATCAGGTTATGGACTAAGCCAGGGTGAGGGCATTGGGAAAGAAAGACTACTGCTGTGCAGCTGACTGCTAAAGGTATGCCACATTAAGTGAAAACACAAAATCCATAGGACAGGAAATGCAAGAAGGAGCTTGACATATCTGCTGATGCTCCCATGCCAAGGAGGTGGGTTCTCAGACTCAGTCAGGTTTTCCTACCTACACAGCTCTTTCTGATGCAAGCAATGGCACCCTGTGTGTATCTAATCCAAAGCTTTCTTGTTTTTTTTTTTAAATAAGTTTGGTATCCAATACTCTGAGGCAGTTTGGATCTCTGCCATGTTTCATAACAGATATTTTGGTTTAAAAGAAACAGGTAAAACAAGTAGAAGGAAAACACTGACAATGTGTTCACTGCTCTAACTACTTCAATAGTGAGTGACCTTCATGTTTCTATTGCATGCTTCTTGGTTGCTCTTGTACTTTATTTTTAAGGTTAGAACCCACTAAACAAAGTTTATTTGAGTCTCCTGTTAAATAAGCACAGATTTAGGACTTTTTTCCCCTATGTCCTCTGTATAAACTATGTTAATGACATTTAGGACTTACACTTAGTGTACTCATTATTCTCAGGGTATCATGCCTATGTTGCACAATACAGCTCTGTGTATTATATAACATATTAATTCAAGTACAAAGGCCTGAGCTGTTTTTACAGCAGGGTCATAAATTTAAATTCAAGGTCTCTTCTAAGTAACTCAAAAACTCTACTTAGTGTGGAATGGAAATGGTTTGTTTTGCAGATGTGATTCTTCATACCATACATTTTTATGTAATAGCTTGATTTCTACTCCACTGTTGCAGAAAGTGCCATTACTTTATTAGTAACCACACAACAGACAGTGCCTTGTTTTATTACATGTTCAGTTATGCTTACTATTCAGTTAAGGTTGGAAATATGCCAGTCACTACTAATTTGTCACCTTAGTCAAAAGAGCAAACAAATGAAAAGCCTGTTCTCCAAACTAATAAATTAGAAGGATTAATTAGGAAATAGATGCCTGCAATAAAAGACAACTATACCTCTGTCCAAAAGTTCATGCCCCAAATACACATAGCTGACCTTTAATGTGACTAATATCCTTGTTACCGGGCTGAGAAGTAACAATACAAACATTTTTTTTTCCTGCAAAATATCTTGACAGTTTTTAGAAACACAAAATTTCCTGCTTCTGGAGCATCTCTAACAACAGTGTCCCCTAGGAAAGTAAATAACCTTGAAGTCTGTTGGGAATGACAACTAGAAAGTTACTGACAACATGGACTTCCTCATGTTTCTCTGGATTTCTATTGGCCTTTATCCCGTAGCAGATAATCCAGAAGTTACATGAAGTATGGAAGTATTTTGAATTACCAGTGTACTTAGGAATCTGTGCTAGAGAACAGCAGTCAGATTCTCTGTACTGAGTTACTAGTGGCCCATAAAAGTGCAGGCATGCTGAACTGACTTGCTTACGAATTTCAGTTTAGAAAGCATGTTAACAGGCATCTGAGATCTCCTTAAATCTTCCCACTAACACAATGTCTTGTTTCATGCCCTTGCTGGTCTAGACTCCATTGGCCTGCACCGTGTGGAGAACATAAGCCACACAGAGTCTGCCGTTAGCCTGCATTTGTACAGTCCACCCTTTGACAGCTGTAACACCTTTGATCAGAGGACTGGACACAAGCACAAAGTCAAGATGACCTTCTACAGCGAGTTTGGAGAAAGGACTCTCTGTGTAAGTACGAAATAACACACTCCGTGCCCAACGCCAAGTTCTGAGCCTCCAGCCCCAGCAGGGATGGGCATAAGGGGCTGCCCTTTTGCCTGCCAGGACAGGCAGGAGGTCAGTCAGACCTGCCTTTCTCAGGGCATCCCCGTCCAGGACCAGCATAAAACCTGTTTCCAAACACTATTAGTTTTGCTGAATTCCACTTCTCTTGTGTGGAGTTCCCTGCTTTGTAGTTTGCCTCCCCTTCGTCATTAGGAGATCAGTCTGAGCAGAGAGGAGGATTAATGAGAATTTTGCTACTAGCTAAGTGTCTTCAGGCAGAAAATGATGGTAAATGCAACCTAGTCAATGGAAAACTGTGGAGTGGCTACATTGTTTTGGCCAACTTAAGTCATGTGTAACATTTCCTGCCTAAACTGTTCTGCCAAAAAGCATTACATTTCAAGTCGGTGGTTTCAAACCTTGTAGCTTACTGTAAAGTACAGAATTCTTTAATAAAGTTAATTTAATTCTTTTAAGTCAAAACTTTGACACAGAAAGCCTTGCTCTCAGAGTAAGAGTAAGCTGGTTGGCTGTTGTCTGCATTCTTAAGCAATGGCATGAGATTTTATTTGGCTAGAAAAGAAATCTTAAGATAAGCTTTGGGGGACCAAGCTAGGACATCTCAGAGAGTTTAATAGGGTTCCTTTTAGCACTTTTCTATGCATTGGGAAACAGAACTATTTATATGAGGGGAAAAGACAGATTCTTGATGTTTAGCCACAGAGGTTCAGAATGTTTGGTTTTGTTAGATACAGAACAGTTTCAGCTTTCACTGAAGCCAGAAAAGCAGTGCTCAGGAGTTTCCCGAAGTGAGCCGTTAGTAAGATCCAGTTAAAACTTCATACATTTGACAAGTACCATCTAAATTATTTCTTTGAAGCTTGCCACATTATGTGATTACAGCTTCACCAAACAGCTGAAACACAAACTTTGACCTTCCTGAGTTTAAAAGGTCCTTGAGAAAGTAAACTCAAATTTTTAATTCAGATTTTAAAGAGGAATAAACATGGAAAAATGATGAACAGAATTCACACAAGATTTCAGTGTTTGCTTGCTTTCTTTTTAAGTGTTTATTGAAGTATGTAAGATAACAAGTGAGATGTTTTGACTCAGACTGTTTTCTTATGCTTTATCTGAAACCGTTTGGCAGTGTTTGTACCTTTTTTGGGAAAACTAGATCTGGCTTACAGGAGAGAGGTAGATCTTAATGACTGTGTCTCTTTCATGAGTTCCTGTAAATGGAATTCCAGTAAGGGAGAAAGTGGTGGTGAGTCTGGGCCATCCAGCTGCCTGAAATGACTTCAAGCTACAAAAACCTCTGTGAGGGTTTCTGGAAATCTGACTCTAAAATCAAACTTTCTTCTGCTTAACAGATCTCAAAAGGACATAGCAATACAGAGAGATGTAAGTTAAAAATACCAAGAGTGTAATGTAAAGTATACTTGTGTATCTTTTATGAGTGAGAATATTTGTCTAACTAAGGCATGTTCAGAGCTTCCTCTTTTTCTGAAATTTTTCTGCAGGTGAAACACGTAGGTAAATCCCTATTGGCTTCTGACCACGATGAAGTCTTAATTCACTAAATCTCCGTTAAATACATAATAAGTTATATAGGCATAATAATTAAAAAACTATGTACTATGTCCAAGGACTTGCCCATGGAAGTAACTGTTTAGACAGTTCAGGTACAAACCACGAGAATACTGATGTGAAAGTTCACTGAGGGAAAACTGATTTTGTCTTGGGTGTCACTGCACATCAGGTCTTGCTGCCAGGCATTTTGCTGGGGAAGGTGGTTTCTCTTTGCAGCCTGTCTTCCAAGCTGGACTTTCCAGCAGTTTCTGTCAAAATGAAGTAAAGCAGAGTATCAGAGAGAAAAGATAGCCTGAAAGAGGAAGCACTCCTCAGCTGTGCCATCTGCTATTCGCTTGCTCATGCTCACTCAGAGCCAAGGGACGGGGTGATATTATGAGGGGCACAGTGCCCTCTATAAAACTCTGTCAAGGAGTACTGAAAATAAATACACTAAGTATTTTAAGGTGCTGAGCTACTCTGAGAATAAAGGCCCATGCTGAGAACATGAAGTAGGTGGTGACTGGCTTGCTCTAAAACAGCAACCTCTTCTCTTTCCTTTTAGGCAACAGCAGTGCCGCAGGAGAACAACTGAGAAGCACCAGCATGCATTTGCGTAAGACCTGCTGAATGTTTAACCAGGGACAGAAGACTTGCATAGCTAAGGCCAACAGCCAGCTATATTTCTATACCTTGTACATAGAAGTACACTAGGGCAGCTTCCAGGCCACCCACAGTTCCCCCAAGCAAATGCCAGTTATGGGACTTTAAGCTGAATAGCGCCATAAACTACTTCAGAGGTTAGATGCCTTTTCTTAGGCTCCTGTCAGAATTAAGTAGGTTTTTTTCTGACTCTAGCCTCCTTTTAATTCCGCTTCTGATGCCACACTGAGAATATCAGAAATAGGGTTTTTAAACATCATCTGACACTACTTAATAGGCTTATGTATGTATGCTCTCAATGTAATTAATAATTATACAAATTTCTAAGCTTCCAGTCACTTGTACCTATGGGTAGTACATTAGATAAAACTAACAGCAGCTCTTATTTTTATTGTCTTTTAGATTTTAATGGTCTAGTCCATTTTGATAGTTTTGTGTGGTTTTTACTTTTTTTTTTTTTTTTTACAATTTCATTGTTAGATCTTGTTTTAAATAGGAATGGCAAAACGCTTCATGCACACTGATTTTCAAAACTGATTTGGCAGAGACTTGGGGTTTTAATAAGACTAATCACACTTAATTCAGCTAACGTCCAGTTTCCAAAGTATTCTGTATAGCTACTGAAGAAGCTAACTGAAATAAAACTAGATTTGTGCACAGATTTCAAAATTTTCAGCCTTTTTCTCCTGGTAACTAAAATATTCATCACACTTTACCAAAAACCACATTCCTCATGAACATGTAAGTCTTTTCCAGGCAATACACTATTAGAAAAGGCTTTTAAAAGTTGAAAGTATTCCAAACATGCAAAGAATACTGATCCAAATTAAGTTGGTGGGATTTCTGCTATTGAGTTCACTGATGCTTAGTTTTATCCTTCAGATTTAGTTGCAAGGAAAGAACCATCTTGAAGTTGACTCTAATTTACCATATGAAAATCAGCAAAGTGGCCCACACTGGGGCTTTTCCATTTATTTAATGCAGCTAGTATGTAACACAAGTAGAGAAAGCGTAGAAAGTCTCCCAGTCTGGTAGGTGACTGCTATTTACTCAGGCAGCAGTTTAACAGTATCCTTTTTAGATGAGTCACATATTGCAAGCCCAGAAAATATTTACTTTATGAGACCCTGTTTCCAGGGAGGCTGTGTCAAATTTTCAAAAAATATTTGGGCAGTATAACAGTTTTCAAATGAACATATGCCCTTGGGCTGCAATTACTCCTTGAGGGCCAGTGGAAAAGCAGTAGGTGCTTTGCAATTACTTTTTTTTGGG